TTTATTAATTATTTTAATTCGGATAAGGGTTAATCATTTAAATGAATTTCATCATTTTGGGTTTGAGGCAGCTTCATGATATTGACATTTTGTTGATGTGGTATGAATTTTTGTTTATATTTTAGTTTATTGATGACATTGATAATTTTTAAATTTTTATATGTATATATTTATCATTTTAAATATAATTATTATAATTTTAGGAGGATTAATTATAGGTATTAATTTAATTTTATCTAAAAAGATATTTAAGTGTCGAAATAAAATATCTTCTTTTGAATGTGGGTTTGATCCAATATCATATAGAAAGGTACCTTTTTCTATTCAATTTTATTTGATTAGAATTATTTTTTTGATTTTTGATGTGGAAATTACTTTAATTTTACCTAGAATTATTTTAATTCAAGAAAAATGATTTTTTTATAAATATATTTTTTGTATAATTATATTAATTTTAGTGTTAGGTCTTTATTATGAATTTAAAGAAGGGTCATTAAATTGATTTTAGTAATTGGATAAATCTAAAGTTTTAGAATTTAATTTCGACTTAAATATATAGTTAAAGTAACTTATTCAAAATTTTAAGGAAGGGGGGGGTAATAAAAATTGTATATTGGTGTTTTATTAAACTAGCACAAAAATTTTTGGGATTTTAGGGAATAAATAATATTATTATATACAAAATTATTATGACAGATTAGTGTGTTAATTTTAGGAATTAATTAAATATAAATTGATTATATTAATAATATTATTATTTTAGTAATGATATGCCTGAGTAAAGGATTATTATGATGTAATAAGTTATATAAATTAAAGTTTTATTATCATTAATTATCATTAATTATCATTAATTATCATTAATTATCATTAATTATCATTAATTATCATTAATTATCATTAATTATCATTAATTATCATTAATTATCATTAATTATCATTAATTATCATTAATTATCATTAATTATCATTAATTATCATTAATTATCATTAATTATCATTAATTATCATTAATTATCATTAATTATCATTAATTATCATTAATTATCATTAATTATCATTAATTATCATTAATCATTAATCATCATTAGGGGGGGGGGTAATAAAAAAGAATTTTTTTGTCTATTGTTAGATTATGAATCTAAAAGTTTTATTAACTTATTTTTATTAAATAATTTTAAGTTAGTAAGACTATTAATTTTCAAAGTTAAAAGGATAAAATTTTTATAAATTATTTTAATATGGCAGATTAGTGCAATGAATTTAAGTTTCATAAATAAAATAAGTATTTTTATTAAAAATTTATGAAATATATTGGTTAGAGTATTTAGTAAGGAGTTTAATTGTCATTATTATAGTATTAATTGGAGTAGCTTTTTAACTTTATTAGAACGAAAAATTTTAGGGTATGTTCAAATTCGTAAAGGGCCAAATAAAATTTTATTTAAAGGTATTTTACAGCCTATTAGAGATGCTTTAAAGTTATTAAGGAAAGAGTTATTTTTTGTAAAAAATTTAAATTATATAATTTATTTTTTAAGACCTTGTTTAAGGTTATTATTAATATTAATTTTATGAGTTATTATACCTAATTTTTTTAATATAAGAATTAGAGAGGTAAGAATTTTATTATTTATTTGTTTTTTAAGATTGGGGGTTTATATAATGATGTTAAGAGGGTGATCTTCTAATTCTTTATATTCAATATTAGGGAGAATTCGTGCGATTTCACAATCTATTTCTTATGAAGTTAGTTTAATTTTAATTATTTTAAGAAGTTTATTTTTAATTGAAAGATTTGATATGTTTAAGATGTCAAGAGTTCAAGATAAAATTTGGGCTTCTATTTATATATGAGGGGTAATGTTAATATTTTTAGTTAGAGTTGTGGCGGAATTGAATCGTACTCCTTTTGATTTAGCTGAGGGTGAATCTGAATTAGTATCTGGGTTTAATACAGAGTATATAGCAGGAGGATTTGTGTTAATTTTTTTATCTGAATATGGTATAATTATGTTAATAAGTTATTTATTTATATTATTTTATTTTATACTTAATATTAATAGTGTTAGGATAGTGGGAAGAGTGAGGGTAATAATTTTAATTATTTTATTTCGAGGAAGATTCCCTCGAATTCGATATGATAAACTTATAATATTAATTTGGAAAAGATTTTTAGTTGTAATTTTAAATTATTTAATTTTTTTAAACTTTATTAAATGAATTTTATTAATTATATATTAATAGTAAAAGGTTAAAGATTTAAGTTAATGAATTTGTTAAAATATGTATTTTGAATATACATTAAAGAGATTAAAATTTTCTATTAACTTAAAATGAAAATTAAAATTATAATTAATAGAAGTAGTATAAATATATCTATTAAAGTATTAAAAAAATAGGATAAAAATTTTTTTTGTTTAAAAAATATAAAGTTAAATATTAATTTAGTGTAAAATTCATTTCATATAGTTTCGTTTAAATAAAATAGTTTATTAATTATATTAAAGGTAAAAAAATTTATTGAAAAAGATAATTGTCTTAAAAATATAAAATTTTTACAAGTAGGAATGATGTTGTATAAAAGTCATGAATTAAAGTAATTTGTGTAGTTTAAACCCTCACAGCACCGGGATATTCAGGATATCCCAGAGACGTCCTGGGGATATCGATTTGTTTTCGGAAGTTTGGATATCTCTGGGATATCCTAGGGACGTCCATGGATATCCAGAGGATAATCCAGGGATATCCAAACTTCCGAAAACAAATCGATATCCCCAGGACGTCTCTGGGATATCCTGAATATCCCGGTGCTGTGAGGGAAGAATTTAAAATTAATAAAATTCTAAATATTATTATATAGTGAATTAAACTTTTTATTTCTAAATTTAAAATTCTTGTATCAATTCTATTAAATCTTAATCAATTGATTAAGTTACCAAAAATAATAGATATAATAAATAATATGAAAATAGAGAAATTTATTAAAATATTATCTTTTTTTAGGGTTATAGGGCTAGAATGTGGTATATTAAAAGTTAAATAAAATATGAGTCGAAAAGAATAAAAAATAGTTAAAGAGATAGAAAAGTATATTAAAGTTATAATGAATGGGTTAATAAGAAAGTTAAGTGTTATTTCAAATATTAAATCTTTAGAGTAAAATCCTGAGAGAAAAGGAAAGCCACAGAGGGATAAATTAGAGTAGTTAAAAAATATGATTACTAAAGGAGATTCATAAATTAAAGAACCTATTAATCGAATATCTTGCAAATTTATTAAAAAATGAATTATGATTCCTGAACATAAAAATAATAAAGATTTAAATATAGCGTGAGAAATAAGATGAAAAAATACATAATTTGGTAATTGATAGGCTAGTATATGAATTATTAACCCTAGTTGTCTTAAAGTTGAAAAAGCAATAATTTTTTTTAAGTCAAATTCAAATATAGCATTAATTCTAGCTAGAAGTAAAGTTATTAACCCAATAATTAAAAGAGGTAAAGTTATTTTTGTAAATATAAAATTGAATCGAATTATTACGTATACTCCTGCTGTTACTAATGTTGAAGAGTGAACAAGAGAAGAAACTGGAGTGGGGGCAGCTATTGCAGCAGGTAGCCATATAGAAAAAGGGATTTGGGCCCTTTTAGTTATAATTATAATTAAAATAATTGAAGGTAATGTGTAAGAATTAGAATAGTAAAGAGAAAAATTTCATGATCTAAAATTTATACCTAGAAAAATGAGGATTAAAAGTATAATATCTCCAATTCGATTAGTTAATAATGTTAATATTCCAGAGTTGAATGAATTTGAAGATTGATAGTAAATAATCAAACAAAAAGAAATTAATCCTAATCCGTCTCAACCTAAAATAATTCTTAATATATTAGGGCATAAAATTATTAAAATTATAGAGATTACAAAAAGTATTAAAATTATAATAAAATAAATTTTTTTATTTTCTATAATTATGTATTCTTTTCTATATAATATTACTATGGAGGAAATGAATATTACAACTCTAATAAATATTAGACTTAGTCAGTCTAATATAAAATTTAATTCAAAATTTATATTTATTAAAGAAATAATATTTCATTTAATAAAGAAAATAGATTTGAAAAAAATTAATGTTAATCTATAAAAAAAAGTTAATGTTCTTAAAATAAGTAAAGAATAGAAATAAAGGGAATTAATTATAATTTAAAATATCTTTAGATATATTTTTGATTCCACAAATCAATATTTTAAATTTAAATTATTTAAATAATAAAAATTTATTGTTATAATAAATAAAGGAATTAGGTGAAGTAGTAAAGCTAAGAATTCTTGTATTGAGATTGAAATAAATATATTAATATTTTTATTTAATATTCCATGTTGTGTTGTTATAAAAAAATATATTGAGTATAAAACACTTGTATATCTTAAAATTATAATTAAGGGAATTAAATTTAATCTAAAATTTAAGATTCTATTAATTAATAAAATTTCACTAACTAAATTAAGAGAAGGAGGGGCCCCTATATTAAAAATATTTAATATAAATTTAACCCTGTACTAAGTTTGAGTACAACTCACTAAAGTATATGAAAAAACAAAAAAATTCGAAGTTTTGAAAAAGTGGCATAACTTTCGTCCATATTAATATTTTTTAATCTACTACAACTAGGATTTTAAGTTAGGCTAATGCCTAAAAGACTGAAAAGTTTAATTTAAAACGGTTAAACCGTTTTTCTGTGATGGGCGGTCAAAATTTTACGGACATACATACACACACATAATTTTCTTAATATTATTTTCGGATTTCTTAGAGTGTATAAAAAGAAGGATTATAATAGAAATTTTGAATTCTATGCAATGTAGATACAAAAGTCTGATTTTATTAATAAGGATTGTATATATAATTATGTATATAATAGGATAATTGATTAACCGGTTTTCCTTGAAATCCAGTGATTTTCTGTCCATTCTTAACGAATCGATGCTATTTTTACGTATTAACTATTTCGCAAAAGTCTGTCTTTCGAATTGCACTCGTAGTTAAGTCGAAAAACTACAGGCGTTAAAATTTTGTTTGCCTAATTGATATTACATAAAAAATTTTCTAATTTTTTGCAGTGAGTTTAACATGAGATTGTTATTTTTACTTTGTGCTTTTTGGCAAACTTCATGGACAATATCCAAATATGCATACATAGTGAGTAGTTTTCAATAAAATATTATAATGTTTTTTCTCTTTTCAAGAAAAATATATGTTTTTAACATATTAAAAATTATTATATCTTTTTTAACTATTTAATCATTACACTATACATAATAAAATTAAATTTTTCTTCACCCTTATTTTGTATTTTTGGAACGATGGTTTTAATAGTTATTCGTAACTGACTGATTTACAACATGAATCTTTTTTAGGTTTTTAACCTTTTGCGGCTTATATAGTGACATATACATATGTATGATACCTTTCAGATAAAGACATATATATATATATATATATATATATATATATATATATATATATATAGGGGAGAGTCTCCAGTTGTGAGACGGGTTTTATTTTTGACCCGTAAATTGTAAACGGGCAAAAGAAATTGTAAATAAAATACACCGTTCGAAAGGTAACAGAAATACGCAACTTTTATTAAAAGAAAGTATAGTGTTTCGATAAACTCAAAAAATTTTACGATACATTTTCCGAGCACATCGCTTTTTTCAAAAAAAAAAAATGTCTCCAGTTGTGAGACACTCATTAAAAATTGCTAAAATTTAATAAGTTTGACATAAAACGTTATGTTTAGTAGAAATAATTAAATATATTAATAATATATATTATTATATACTAAATAATAATATTTATTCGCCAAAATATGACTACCAAATAAACACAATTTAAAAGCTTCAACAAGAGCATTAAAATTGATTTCTTCTGAATCAATTGACTTTTTTCCACTTGACTTGCCCGAAAATACTAGAAAAAAAATCAAAACAACATTTAAATAGTATGCCTGCAAAGTCGTATTTTTATGCTGCCCAGATGGGTGTTGACACCGTCTCACAACTGGTGATATGCTGTGTCTCACACCCAGAAATTGGCGCTATTTTGAAAAAGGAAAATTAAATTATTTTCAACCGTAGATTGGAACAATGCAATATTGCATCACAAAATATAAGGAAAACACTAAAAGAAAATGCATTACATTTACCTTTTCCAATTAATTAACTTGGAAAAAAAGTACTTTGCATTTATTGAAAAAACGCTTTTTAGTCGATTATCACACACAGTGTTGGTATTTAACAAAAACAGTTTATATATCCGCTTCGGCGTACTCGAAAAAGTTGGCTCATATAAAAAGAAATGTTTTTATATAAACCAATCGGCTTTTTAATATTGCATGTTAAAAAAATTGACTGTCTCACAACTGGAGGTGTCTCACAACTGGAGACTCTCCCCTAATATTGCAAGTTCACAAACTTTTTAAAAATTTGCACTTGCAAGAAGATATTATACAGTTCTTGTCAAACTAACATTTTTGTTACTTGCAGCCGTAGAAATTCTGTTATAAAAAATAAAAACCATACAATTTATACAAATTCATTTTTTTATGTTTGGAAAAACAATGTTACACAAATATTAGAAATTGGCAACAGTAAAGATCTAATAATTTATTTTTTATCCATCTTGCCGAAAATGTTTAATTTTTTTTACAAAAAACAGTTGAAAGTTGTAATAAAACATTGACTAACGAAGTTAACAAATAATAGTGTATAAAAAATAAATGCTTATGATAAAACATATTTTTATTTTTAGAGAAATCCTGCTCCTTGTCCAGAAAATATGTCTCACTATGTTGATGACAAGAACCAATCCATCGTATTTTGCGACTGCAAAGAAACTCTTTTATATTTTCCTGAAAATGACTTCTGTTACGATGCCTACAGACAAGGTCCTTGTCCTTCAGAGCATTATTTGGTACTAGATCCTGGAGAAACAGTTGCAAAATGTAAAAAAAATGTGTGTTTATTAGATGGTCTTGTTCCATTTAAGGACAACTGCTATTTTCTTTGGGAATCTGAATTGCCTTGTGAAAAACAATTCCATAAATTAACAGTCAATATAGATACTTTTGAATTAGAATGCAGTCAACATTCATATAATGGTGGCTCATCAAATTTGGTAATTTGTGAAAATTTTGTTATTCTTTCATTTTATTAATAAAGCTATTTTTCATATCATTCAAATTATATTTATTTATTTATTTCAGAAAAAGTCGAAATCCTGTCCTGAAAATTCAATACTTGTTCCTCTGGATAATAATGAGTCAAAATGGGATTGTGATTGTGATCCAGGTTTTCTTCGTCATGCAAAAAATAATTCTTGTCATCAAGCATTTAGACAAGGTCCTTGTCCTCAAAAACATTATTTCATTCTTCCTTTAGGAGAAGATGAAGCGAGATGTGAAAAAAATCCGTGCCTTGAAGATTCACTAGTTCCATTTAAAGAGGGCTGTCATAAAATTTTTAAATTTGGATCGCCTTGTTCTAGTTCATTTTATTATCTGGGAATTGACAAAAAGAGTTTCCAATTGAAATGCATTTATTCTAGACGCCGTTCTGGAGGTCACGGCGCCGGCGGAATTATTACTGCTCCTCTTAAAGCTTGTCCTCCAGGGAGTAGAAGAATAGTAACAGGATGTAAACGCGTCTTTCAATAAAACATTGCAGCAGATAATTCTTATTTTTTATATTCTATACTCTAGCAGTAGAAACGTGACTGACAGCAGTGGCGTAGCAATAGGTGGTTTGGGGGGTTAGATTGTCCGGGGCCCCGGCGATTTAGGGGCCCCCAAAAAGGATAAAATTGATTTTCTTCATATGCAGCAAAATGGTAATAAACTGGTTCCGAGTTTTAATGTTTGTTATACTTCTAATAATAATATACTTAATAACTTATATATAATAAGATGCTATCAAAGCAAGTGCGATCTCTTACCAAAATCTATTATGGCACGGTCACAGCTCGGCAGCCGCAACTAGAGCAGAATACGTCGACCGAAAGCAGAAAATCATGAGTGCAAAAGAGATAGGCAGATATTTTTGTTCTTTTCACTCTCATGATTTTCTGCTTTCGGTCGACGTATTCTGCTCACATGTGATCGCACCCTTACTCTTATGTGTTACCATGACAACCTGCAGGCAGGCACCTTTAATTCGCACCTGTGCTCGTCTTTTTGCACTTATTGTAGACGTTCTATTATACGTAATATGCGATTTGCAAAATGTCGTATCACGCAATCACAGGTATATTTAGGTATGTAACACACTTAAAAACCTCTAGTTTTCCTGCACTACCCAACCCTGTTCATAGGCTGCGAGGTGACATTACCTTGTGTGTGTCGACTACAAATTCAAGTATTTTTAGTAAAGTGCACTTTAAGTCTCTATTGAATACAAACTTGCTAACGATTTACGAAACGATCTTGATAAAATTATAGACAATTTTGCTGAAACAAAAATTCGCAGAAAACAAGTGTAGAACTTAAAATAAAAAAGTTATTTTTATTTTATATATATATATATATGCGTTTCATTGGGGGCCCCTCGAAATTTTTTGTCTAGGGCCCCTTAACTTGTAGTTACGCCACTGGTGACTGAGAAATAAAATACTATTTGTAACTTTAAATTATTTTACAAATGATAAGGATGCACATCATTGTGGCGCAAAAGAGTTATTTTCTAACAAAAAAATCATCTCAAAAAGGTAAGTAAAAATTACGAACTTTTTTTAGTTTTGCGTCCTCGTAGGAAGTTGTACCAACTTTAATTGTAAATTAACTATGCTTGCAAATAAACTAAAATTAATATATTACATTAATCCCACCATAATATTAAATATATAATAACTTTATTTCATAACTTTACAGTAACGTACTTTACAATAAATTAAAAAGGCAGAATTTTTATTTGATCTAACTTTTATTTTATTAACAATTTTAAATATTTAAATACAAATACATTTATTGCAACTGTATAATATAACATTAGTTACAGATTCTTATTTTTAGAGTAACATATTTTAATACCTAAGCAGATTTTATATAAAAAATATTAATATAATTCATGGATTTCAGTTTAACTGATTCCCGAAAACTTAATTTCCCGAAGGTCTTTAAACCCGAAAAAACTGTTTTTCACATTTATTAAAAATCAGAATTATCTATTTAGATTTTACTTAAAAAGAATATTTAAATGTGCGACTTCAAGGGGAATTTTGTTTTTTCGAAGTAAGTAAACCAATTGCAATGAATAGCATTTTTGTATATATAAAAATTTGGAATAAACAATATAATATAAGCAATTTTTTCGCTTTTCTATGCTGAATTTTTTAGAAAAAGAATTATGTGTTTTGATTAAGATGGAAAGGAGAAATAACGATTTCAAAATTGACATCTTAAAAACTATACTAAATATTTTGACATAATATTTGGTGAAAACGTTTTCTTTTATGTTCTCGATTATCATTGTGTTCTTCGTAGTTTAACAATCCCTCGAGTTGTTTCAAAACAATTGAACAGTTGCTATCGATTCATACTTGATGATTCGATAAATTTTTTTGGCAACATTTTGAAAATTTTACATTCGGAATTACAGTTTTCGGAAAATTAACTATTAGAGAAAAAGATCTTTGTGAAATTGTCTACGGGAAAAAGGTTTTCCTAAAAATATCAAAGAAATCTTTGCGAAAGGTTACCGATTCTAAATCTTAGAAACTTTTCATTAGGTTACCGATGTTGCCTATATATTGGATGAAAAAAATATTCAAGTACTATGAGCTGTTTGTTTACTTGATTTATATATTATTAAAGACTAAAATTATCAGAAAAAACTTGACAAATGCGAAAAGTTAAAGCAAATTTACTTGTTTTCGTTGTGAATGATTGGCAATATTATAATCAATACAATATTTTCATATACAAAAAATATAATAATAACTAACGGTAATATAATATTACAAAATTAATATTTTAAAATTTTACTTATAATAAACATATAATTAAATGGAAAATTATGAATACCTTTTTTTATTAAACACTTCTCTGTTTTTTGTTTGAGTACATTAAAATAAGTGAATAAATCATAAAAAACAAATAATTTTCATTCTTATTTTTTCGGAAAATTCTATACCGGTTTTGTTGAATAATAAAGTACATGCGATTTACCAATTGATTCGAAGCATCTTCGTTAATATATAAGTGGATTCACAAAAAGCACCTTCACTTTCATGAGTATCATTCACTAGCAAAATTGATTGAAATCATTCAAACACATTAAATTTACTTAAGAGCAGTTTGTTAAAAGTGAAATAAAAATGAAACATTTATTTTTAATTAGTGTCTTTCTGATACATTACTGTCAAATTTTTGGAAGTTTAAATCCTGTAAGTAATAAAGAATATATATATATATATTAATAAAGATATTTGATTTTATAAAAGGATATGAGAAGTTGATTTATAATTGCATGTTTCTTCACAAAATCTAAACCCTTAAATAAATAAGGGATTAACATCTTTTAATCATTGTAAGAATTAAAAACATAATATCATGTCAAATAATGTAGACATATTAAAATAATCATTTTAAAAAAATGCTTTGTTAGCAGGGAAATTTCATAAGCTGTCCAAAGCATATGAAACACTTTTTAGTCAGTGAAAACAGTACCGAACAGTATTGCGATTGTGATGAAATATATTTATATCATCCTAAACATGATTTTTGCTACGATGCCTATAGGCAAGGTCCTTGTCAAAATGGATATTATTATGTTTTATCACCTAATTCTTACGTAGCAACGTGTCAAAAAAATCCATGTCAGATAGACGGAATTGTACCTTTTCGAGGAAAATGTCACTTTCTATGGGAATCTGGAAAACCTTGCAGAAGCGAAACCACATTCTTAGGAATTAATGACAGTTATCAATTAGAGTGCGGTATAAAGCGTTACATGGGATCCTGGTATGATTTGGTAATTATTTTAATTAAAAAAATTTTTATACGTAATTACAGAATATTTTGTTAATATAAAGGAAAACAGACGTAAAGTTAGTGCGTTAATTAAATGTTTTTCAATCAGTACACAAAAATTATTCATTCAGAAATTGATATAATTACATGGCAATGTATGATGAACAAATAAGGAAAACAGCAAAATTCATCACTTTAATGAACACATCTTATAAAAACATTTGTTTTAAAATAAATCTAAACATTTATGCAACACATACATAATACTTATTTCAAACTAGATGAAACACTTACACATTTATCATTTTTTGCACGTTGTTTTCTATTTGATTTATAATTCTATCTAATTGTCAATTAAATATAAAAGTATAATTTATAAATAATTATATAATTATTATATATCATCTTATTTCAGAAAACATCTAAGTCTTGTCCAAAAGATTCGTTACTGACGCCATCAGATGACGAACATACAAATTATTATTGTAAATGTAAAGAAACTTACATTTATTCAGCAAAAAATCACTCTTGTTATCAAGCCTACAAACAGGGACCATGCCCTCTAGGAAGTTACTACGTACTCCCTACTGGACGAAAAGAGCCGAGATGTGAAGTAAATCCTTGCAACGAAGATGGTCTTGTTCCTTTTAAAGGAAAATGTCATGAAATTTATAAATCGGGATATCCTTGTGCTGATAATCTAACGCATTTGACAGTCACTAGAAAAACATTTCAATTAAAATGCATTTATCAACCACCTGTTAGTATGGGTGGAGGTGGAATTATAAATGCTCCAATTAAAGCATGTCCTCCTGGAAGTCGAAGAGTAGTAACTGGTTGCAAACACATTTTCCAATAAAATTGCATTTTTTAAATATTTCAATTTTATTTCTATGCGTGAAACCTATTTAATAATAATGTTAAAAAAATCCAGAAGACCAGTAAAAAAGTCAACCACACAATCGTTTGAAATCGAAAAACGATGTTCAAAATAAGGAAAAGCATGTAAATATGTATACGATTTTTATCTTATTTTTAAATGATCGTGATTACATTAATTTCTATGAGATTTCTCCTGACCGATTGTTTAAAATTGTAATGTTTGAATATTTTGTTATTAGTTTTTGGTCATGTCATTTTTATTTAAAATTTCCTGTGTTTATTGAAAGTTTAGGTGTCAATGAACAAGAATATACTAGATATTTTTTTTTTATTCGGTCATTCCTATAAAAAACGAGATTAAAGTGTTAAAAAACCGCATTTTTAGCACAATTGAGGCAGCGAAACAAGAAAACGCATCATTATAAAAATATCTACAAGAGCTTAAATAAAAACTTAAACCTTCAAGCTTAAGGCTCAGAACTGAAAAGTATTTTAATAATTACTGAAAACCTGCAGTCGCTATCTGAAATTATCAAAAAAGCTGGGATAGGAAGCAGTTGGTAAAAATCAATTTCCCTAACCGAATTCGCTTGCAACTTGTTACTTGAGGTTTTTTTAGGTTGCTAATGACGAATTGGAATTTAGGTATAAAAAATTCAAAATTGCAAATTCTCGCTGACTCGTGTGTAAATATGAGGAAAATATTAAAAGCATTAAAAAAATATTGTTTTATTAATAAATTAGAAATAAATGTAAAGAAAACGAAAATAGTTATTTTTAGAAAAAGTGGACATTCCCACAATTACAAATATGGATCATTCATGTATATGATAAGACTCAAAAAATTGAAATAGTCTCTAATTATGAATACCTGGGTGTAATTTTTTCAAACTCGGCTACGTTTTTTAATGAAACAAACTATGCTATTAGTAAAGCGAATGTAGCTCTTGGAACAACAGTGTCTTTGATAAATCGTCTAAATCTAAAATCTTGCTCTTGGAGTCCAGTTATTAGATTATTTAACTGCCTTACTGTAAGTAATTTATTTTACGCTATTCAAGTATAGGGTTTGAGATAGTTTTATGATATTGAAATAATTCAAAATACTCTTTTTAAAAAAATGTTACTTCTTCCAAAAAACACTCCGAACTATACATTGAGACTGGAGACGGGAGTCTCCAAATTATCAGTTAAAGTTTTTAAATATGTTTTAAATTTAATAGAGAAAATATTATTGGTGGAAGAAGGCCGATATCCAAAAATGTGTTTTTTAAGATTGAAAGCTTTAGCTCAGAGCAAAATTGGAAAAAAATAAATTTAATTGGTACGATCAGGTAGGACTTATATTCGAATATATTAATGAAAAAATAAAATGAGATAACTTAAATATACATCAATTGCATGCGAAAAAAAATTTTTAGATAGAAAAATACGAAAATTACTTGTATATGGAAGATTTAAAAAAATTGAGTGAATCTCATTCACTGCAGATTCTGCCACACTTGGCTTTAATTAAGGGTCCGCAGAATTATTTACAAATTAAAATTCCTTTAAAGTATAAGAGTTGTAAGTCAAATTCGTCTTTTAAATAACAACTGTACTAGAATAATAATAGATAAGAAAGCTTTCAAGCTGAGTGACTCTGGAACCTGCAGCGGATGTGAAACAAATACTCTTGAAATGTTTTATCACCTTTTAATTGAATGTCCTTATCTCTCAACGGAAAGAATGAAATATTTTTGTGTGGAACAGGATGAGTCTGTCATAAGGGCCGTAAGTATTTATTTATATGTTAGAAAACACGCAAATTAATTTAATGAAAAATTTGTATCTTTTTACCAAAGCTTTATGTGAAAAATTAGATAATAGATAAAGTTTTATTTAAACTTTAATAATCTACGGCAACCTCTTTGTATTGGCTTGTACCAATATATTCAAATATAATTATATTGTTTAATAAATTAATTATGTTCACAAATAAATAAATTATATAGAACTATAAAAAACAAAATTTTGGAAACCCACAGTGAAATGTTACTATAACCTTACAATGTAACATTAAAAAATGTGGGCCATTTTAACCTTACGGTAATTCTACAGTAACCTTACACTGTAACGTTGGTATCGTTACACGGTAACCTTACCATAAGATTACTGTAACATCATGTGCTATTTGGGTCTTTTATATTCGAGTTTTTGAGAACTTTTGATTGAACTCAATATTTTGAGCCACTTTGAGAATCTGACTTCGAAATCAGAGTGAAAAAATACATTGGAATATACTAGTGTAGTGTTATAAAAAAATTTTCATTTTAATTCGGTTTTGTGAGTCATTTTCGAGTTTTTTAAAATTTTGAGCAAATCTGTCTATTGTGGCTTCGAATTCGGATTAAGCATGAAAAAATACATGAAAATATACTAGTGTAGTGTCATAAAATTCTTTTTTGGTTCTAATTCATTTTTTTGATCCATTAGCTCTAATTATACAGTAAATTGCTGCAAGATATTCACGTTTTAAATTAATGAATTTGTTTAGCACATTTACCATCACTTTTTTACCAATACCATTGTCCGCTTCGTGGCAAAACAAAAATTTTCGTTCGACTGGATTTAGAAACAACATGGTTCCAGAATTTTATTATTTAGTCATAATAATTTTTGCTTGTAACTTTATATGAGCATAGTTATCTTAATCGTATTTTCGAATGTTTTAGAGTGTAAAAAGAAGAAAACACTTTTTTTGTTTGAGTCTATTGGAATAAGTGTATAAATTATAAAAAACAAATATAATTTTCATTGTTATTTTTTCGGAAAATTCTATACCGGTTTTGTTGAATAATAAAGTACATGCGATTTACCAATTGATTCGAAGCATCTTCGTTAATATATAAGTGGATTTACAAAAAGCACCTTCACTTTCATGAGTATTCTTCACTAGCTAAATTGATTAAAATCATTCAAACACATTAAATTTACTTAAGAGCAGTTTGTTAAAAGTGAAATAAAAATGAAACATTTATTTTTAATTAGTGTCTTTCTGATACATTTCTGCCAAATTTTTGGAAGTTTAAATTCTGTAAGTAACAAAGAATAATTAAGATGTTTGATTTTATAAAAGGGTTTGAGAAATTGATTTATAATTGCGTATGTTTCCTCACAAAATCCAACCCCTTAAATGTATAAAGGATTAACATATTTTAAATACAGTAGAAAAATTAAAAACATAATATCATGTCAAATAATGTAGACATATTAAAATAATCATTTTAAAAAATTGCTTTGTTAGCAGGGAAATTTCATAAGCTGTCCAAAGAATATGAAACACTTTTTAGTCAGTGAAAATAGTACCGAACAGTATTGCGATTGTGATGAAATATATTTATATCATCCTCAACATGATTTTTGCTACGATGCATATAGGCAGGGTCCTTGTCAAAATGGATATTATTATGTTTTATCACCTAATTCTTACGTAGCAACGTGTCAAAGAAATCCATGTCAGATAGACGGAATTGTACCTTTTCGAGGAAAATGTCACTTTCTATGGGAATCTGGAAAACCTTGCAGAAACGAAACCACATTCTTAGGAATTAATGACAGTTATCAATTAGAGTGCGGTATAAAGCGTTACATGGGATCCTGGTATGATTTGGTAATTTTAATTAAATAATTTTTTATACGTAATAATTACAGAATATTTTGTTAATATAAAAGAAAACAGACGTTAAGTTAGAGCGTTAATTTAATTTTTTTAAATTAGTACACAAAAATTATTCATTCAGGAATTGATGTAATTACATAGCAATGAATGATGAACAAATAAGAAAAACAATAAAACGGATGACACGTGAAGCAGAGTCACGTTTTGTATTGGAATTCAGAATTATAATTACAAGTCAGATGAATTATTTTCTGTCGCATTTAATAGTAATTTAACAAGACAGTTATTTTCTCGTTAAATACACATAAATTAAAAAATGCAATTTTACAAAATTATGCAGCGTCAACAAAATTCATCACTTTAATGAACACATCTTCTAAAAATGGGTTTTTAAATAAATCTAAATAATTATGTAATACATACAGAAGACTTATTTCAAACTAGATGAAACACTTACACATTTATCATTTTTTGCACGTTGTTTTCTATTTGATTTATAATTCTATCTAATTGTCAATTAAATATAATAGTATAATTTATAAATAATTATATAATTATTATATATCATCTTATTTCAGAAAACATCTAAGTCTTGTCCAAAAGATTCGTTACTGACGCCATCAGATGACGAACATACAAATTATTATTGTAAATGTAAAGAAACTTACATTTATTCAGCAAAAAATCACTCTTGTTATCAAGCCTACAAACAGGGACCATGCCCTCCTGGAAGTTACTACGTACTCCCTACTGGACGAAAAGAGCCGAGATGTGAAGTAAATCCTTGCAACGAAGATGGTCTTGTTCCTTTCAAAGGAAAATGTCATGAAATTTATAAATCGGGTTATCCTTGTGCTGATAATCTAACGCATTTGACAGTCACTAGTAAAACATTTCAATTAAAATGCATTTATCAATCACCTAGTGGTCGGGGTGCAGGTGGAATTATAAATGCTCCATTAAAAGCATGCCCCCCTGGAAGTCGGAGAGTAGTAACAGATTGCAAACACATTTTCCAATAAAATAGCATTCTTCAAACATTTCATTTTTATTTGTATACGTGAAACCTATTTAATAATGTTAAATAATTCCAGAAAACCAGTAAAAAAAAAATAACCACTTATTCGTTTGAAATTAAAAAACGTAGTTCAAAATAATGAAGAGCCCGTAAATATCCGATTTTTATTTTAATTTTAATAAAATAATTATACGTATTATATTTTATCAATAATAACATTTATAACTTGTTAAATTCGAAATTGTTACCACATTTCACTTTCTCTTAAGGGGTTACATACCTTTTTGACCGCAAAAAGAGTGATTTTCATAATTATTTTCAGTCTTTTTATTAAAATTTATTAAAATAATGTACATTGCATCAGATAGTATAGGGTGGTGGCACCAGTGAACGAACATTTAGGGAAATGTATACATTCGATATTTTTTATTTTTAATTGACATTCTTGAATTTCCTTTTAAACATATGCAATGAATAGCAAAATTTCTAAAGAATTCGAAGCCTATGATACAAATTTTATAAATATAACATAAAATATAAAATTTTAATCAAATATTGAAAAATGTCCATTTTACCAGTGAAAGAATGTTAACCAGTAAAAGAACAGTTTTATTTTCCAGTGAAGGAACAAATCAAATTTATATTAATAAAGTGTCTAAAAATAACAAGAATTATATGAAAAACGCTACAAATATTCTGAAACAATTTTACAACTTACTATTATTAATATTTTCCTAATTACACAACAATAAATATTATTTAATTGCATCTGAGACTTGTAACCTTTTTTCTGTTTATGCTTCATTCATTTGTCATGTTCATAACCCACCAAAACATTAAAAAATTATTTTCAGAAATAACTTGCATATTAAATCTATTTCTTTTTATCATAAACTATATTCTGAAGAAATAAGGAACTAAAAAATATTTTTTTTAGTGCTAAAAGTTATAATTTGTGAAATATCGTAATAAATAATCAATTTGTTTTTTTACTGGTGTCAATTCTTGCAAATTCTTACAATTCTTTTACTGGTGCAACTATGGTTTTATAAACTTTTAGCAACTTTGAAACTTAAAAATATTAATATTTGTGCAAACTGTATCTGTTGCCGCAAAAAAATTTAAACAAGCTTCTTCAAAAAAGTTTAATGTTAAAATAACATTCATTTTTTTTGTAAAATGTAACATTTTTATAAAAAATTTTGTGTAGTTTTGATACCGACTCATTCAAACAGGTTCTTGTATCTGAACTTGTACATACAATAGAATAAGGGAGCATTTACACCTTCGGTAAAAATTTCCAGAACGGAAAATTTTTAATTGGAGTAAGAGAGACAGACTGTGTATCTGACTCTCTTACTCCAATACAAATTTTCCTTTCTGGACAATTTTTATAGAAGGTGTAAACGCTCCATAAACTGCTACAGGAAATTGTACTTAACGTTGTACAATTTTGTTTGAAAATTTTTTTTAATTATTTAAAAATATTATTTATTTAAAATTTGAAATTTGAATAACTTATAATTTATAAGACTTTTCACTTGTGATAGCTAAAAAAAAATTTTTTCAATTATTTGAAAAATGTGTACAAGATCATGTACAATTTTCTGTACCAGCTTATTTTCTTGAACAAGTTCAGATACAAGAACTTGTTTCAATTCTGTGTACTGTTTTTTAGGAAAAAACATTTATAGGTGTCCTAAGATTTTTTTAAAGTTATGGGCAAAAAACATTTTTTTTTCAAAATTAAAAATAAAAAAAAAAATTTAAGAGTCATTCCATTATATTTCGACTAAAGTCGTTGCTGACTAATTTTAAAAAATTATAATATTTTGCAGGAATGATGTTAAAGATATTAGGATCACCAAACAAAAAAAAATTTTTTAAATATTTTTTATATTTATTGTAAAATAAGCATCTAAAGTATATGAAGTCGTAAAAACTGTCACATTTTCATCTATTAGAAAATATTAAAGAAAACACATAATTTACTATAAAAATGTAAAAAAGTTATAAGAATTTATTAAGAATGAATTGTTTTATTATTATAAATTGATAGAAACAATTATTAATAAGAAATATTAAATAAAAAAGGATTTTAAAGTTCACCTGCCAAATAACCTAATTTTGCAAATTTCATTCACTAAATGTGAGAAAGAGAAATCATTAAATTGAATAAAACCTTATGAAATATAAAGAACCTGTGATTAACTTTTAGTTTTTCTTATCACTTTCTTCCTTTTTTCTTCATAAATGTTAAAAAATAAGCAATTAAAACTGGCACTTTGCTTATTTTCACGATTTTAAAATGCAAATAACTTCTGCCCAGAAAAATGAAAAATTACGAAAATTGGACAATAATTATTTGATCACTAAATACACTCACTGGAAAAAGATTTTCTTTGGTCCCGAAGCTATTTTCCGAAATAATTAATTTTAAACTTTTCACTATTTCTATCAGGTTAATACATGTGATTTTTTTAAAACTGAAGTTGGTTCAAAACGATTAAACAAGAAGAGCTAACTTCGTCCTTTAAAAAACACATGTATTAACCTGATAAAAATAGTAAAAAGTTTAAAGTTAATGAATTCGGAAAATAGCTTCGGGACCAAAGAAAATCTTTTTCCAGTGAGTGTATCTAGTGATCAAATAATTATTGCCCAATTTTCGTAATTTTTCATTTTTCTGGGCAGAAGTTATTTGCATTTTAAAATCGTGAAAATAAGCAAAGTGCCAGTTTTAATTGCTTATTTTTTAACATTTATGAAGAAAAAAGGAAGAAAGTGATAAGAAAAACTAAAAGTTAATCACAGGTACTTTATATTTCATAAGGTTTTATTTAATTTAATGATTTCTCTTTCTCACATTTAGTGAATGAAATTTGCAAAATTAGGTTATTTGGCAGGTGAACTTAAAAATCCTTTTTTATTTAATATTTCTTATTAATAATTGTTTCTATCAATTTATAATAATAAAACAATTCTTTCTTAATAAATTCTTATAACTTTTTTACATTTTTATAGTAAATTATGTGTTTTCTTTAATATTTTCTAATAGATGAAAATGTGACAGTTTTTACGACTTCATATACTTTAGATGCTTATTTTACAATAAATATAAAAAATATTTAAAAAATTCTTTTTGTTCGGTGATCCTAATATCTTTAACATCATTCCTGCAAAATATTATAATTTTTTAAAATTAGTCAGCAACGACTTTAGTCGAAATATAATGGAATGACTCAATCTCGTTTTTTACTTCTAAAATTTTAAAATTCTATATTTCTAAAAGTAGGTATGTTTATATATTCAAATTTAGAGTTATATTGAATATTATAAATTTTATTATTTTGTTAATTAAAAAATTGAAAACCTATTTCTTATGTCTTAAATTACTTTTTATAATAATAATTATTAAAATACTTGTATATTATAATCATAAGTTTGTTTTTTCTATTTTCTAGAAAGATTATAAGGATTATTAATCTAATTACGACATAGTAAATGCTAAAGTAATAAGCTCGATTTTGAAATTAAGTTCTATACGTCTAGATTAAAAATTTGTTGAATCCTTGGAAGCAGTTTATTATCATCGGCTAAAGTAGAATTACAATTATCCAAAATTTTTAATAATCATGTCGCAAAATATTGAGAGTTGAGCGAGTGAATATGAATCTTCCAAGACGCTTCCAAAAAAGTTGTTTTGAAGTGTACACTGTAACTTGAAACAGAATCATTTAAAACAAAAAAAATCAAAATGCATTTGTTGAGGTAAACCAGGATGAATTTTAATTTTTTTTTTAATTTTCCGTAGCACTTGAAATCCAAAAGACCGATTTCCTCTAAAAAAAATCGGCTAATTTGTTATTGTAATATTATTAATATTTAAAAAAAGGTTTCCAGGGACACCTGAGGAATTATGTATAGGTAAAAAGTACTGTACCAAATTTCAGAACGATTGTTTTTTTGGGCAAATTGGCACAATGGGTTTTTTTAACCCCTTTTAACTTAATTTTCAAATTTTATGTTTCATAATCATTCATAATTAACTTTTAAATCAGTCTTCGAACGTTTAGCCAAAAATTTTTATTTAAAAAAAAATTCGTTCATTTCATCGTTCAAAGCTTTAGTATCGTGTGTTCCTTTAGGTAGAATTTTGTTAAATTTTGGATAACCCATTTTTGTATGTATAAAAAATGGTAAATAGAATTTGTATTAAATTTGATAGGTTACAATAATCTTTTTATATATTCGTAAAGTACTTTGCTATGATTTCAGTATTTGTAAGTTTGAAAATAGTATCAGTATCAAAATCTATAATGCCGAAGTTAATTAACAATAAATATGAATAAATATGGCTTACAAATTAAAAAAGAATTAACTTGTTTAAACAATAAATATTTAATAATACATATAATGTATATGGGGCGTTCCATGCACAGGGCAAACTTTGAATCTCAGATTTTCTTCATAATTTGCCATTTTGTTGTCTTACGGGACATACATAAGTTGTGAAAATAGTTTTGCAAAATTTCGATTATTTTGCAAGATATTGTTATTTAAACTTTTACGTAACTTTTTTTTCAACAATTTTTATTTCAAAATCTACTATAGTTACAAAAAAAATTTTAATATAAAAATTGTATGGAATCTATTGAATATTAATAATATTTTATTGGAAAATAAATAATTAATTTTTTTAATTAATTTATTTAAACAATAAATTTTACAATTTTTATATTAAAAATTTTTTTGTAACTATAATAGATTTCGAAATAATAATTGTTGAAAAAAAAGTGACGTAAAAGTTTAAATAAGAATATCTTGCAAAATAATCGAAATTTTGCAATACTATTTTCACAACTTATGTATGTCCCCTAAGACAACAAAATGGCAAATTATGAAGAAAATCTGAGAATCAAAGTTTGCCCTGTGTATGGAACGCCAGGCATATGTGAGAAATTTTTTAATTATTTAAATTATTGAAATTTGAAAATTTTATACAATCATAGTAAACAGTGTATGATATAAATTATTTAATCACGTTCCGAGTTAATTTAATCAGTAACAATGATATGTATAGTCCAACATTTATAAAATTAGAGGCTAGACTATAGAGAATGTGAGATGCGTTTTAGATGTATTCATTTACTTGTTTTCCTTGAAATCCTTGAAATAAAAACATGTTTTACTTATAACAGAATTTTATAAAATTATTGTTAATTCAATTCTCTTAAAGTTCGTATTCAATCACTAAACAGAAATTTCTTTTATAAATTCATAATAATATACTTATATTGTTTATTATTTTTTGTTTTTTAAGCAAAGCCGTTTTTTATAATTAAATTTATAAAACATGAAATCAATACTTTTTTTATCTGCATTTATTCAAATTTCTTGGACATTTTCAACATTTACAATGCCAGTAAGTAAAGCATATCTATTTGTTTATTATTTACTGACTTCTGAAAACGATATTCTAAATTTAAGTCTATAAACTTATCAGACATTTAAGAAAATAATACATGCTATTTATTTTTTATAGATAGAATAAATTATTATTCTTGTAATTAAATAGAATTCTTATATTAATAAATATTTATGTATTTAAAATATGCGCTAAATAATAATTTATATTATTAAAAATTTAATAATTTTGACATTTTTTAAAAATATCTTATTCTGTAAATGAAAAAACTGTCTTTGGAAGCCAAAAAATCATATATAGATATTTATTATTGGATTATGTACATAATAATTTAGTTAAAGTTGTTGCTGACAATTATTATAAAAATCTCAAGATTTGTAAAAATGATGTTTAATATGCACAGAATTCATTTCTGATAATTATTTTATTCATTTCTGAACCAATTGAGTCACAATAATTGTTTTTTAAATTTAAGGTGAATTCATAAAGAATGCAAAAAATATTTTAATGACATTTTTCTCACAGAAGAGTAAATAAACAAAAAATTGTTTAAACATTTTTTTTTATTTTTTTCATTTAAAAACTAATTTTTTTGGGATATTCACAGTTTTATACAATTGTTATTAAAATTCATAATTTCGTATCTTCAACAACTTTGAATTAAAAAAAAAAAAATTTGGTATAGTGGAATTTAAAATTTCAATATGGCCGACCAAATATGGCGTCAAATAGGAAGTAAAATTTGAAAGTTTTGGTCACTATATTTCAAAATACCAAAATGTTATTGAATTCAACAAAATTTTGTTACTCGGGGGTTTTTGGGATCGCTAATTACGAATTCAATGTTAGTTTTCAAAAATTCAAAATGGCGAATCCAATATAGCGGAATTTTTTTTAATTTATTCAATTGAAAAATTTTATGTAAAATTATGTTCTTGCTTATTTTTTGAACAAATTATTTTAAATTCGTCGCTAAAAACACTAAAATTAAAATTAAAAAAAATTTTTTTTTTGAAAATATTCAGTGAAATACCCTGAACAAGTTACAAGAATTTTGGAAGGGAATCAACTTGAGGGTTGAAATTGGTTCCAGGGTACCGTGACAATATCAATCGCGTTTTTAATTATGGCACTTTTAGAATAATAAATAACGGAAATTCATTCATTTAAGAGAAAAAAAAATTATGTTTAAAAAGTTTCAAAAAAATTAATTTTATAAAAACTTTTATAAAAAAAATTTCCTTTTTCTGTCCTTTGGTAGACTTCTTCCAAAGGCCAAATAGAAATGTTTTTTTTAACATTTCGATTTATAAAAAAAAACTTTTCATTTTTCGTGAAAATTTCACGACATCTGACGAATTCTAGGAACTGTACATTTAATATTTAAATTTTTATTCTTTAAGCGACTCGAGAATCCATGTCCAAAGAATATGGCAGTCACTAGTGATGAGAAAAACAATTCTGTACCAGTTTGCAAATGCCTAGATACTTTCTTAAATTATTCTGATGATGATTCTTGTTACGATGCCTACAGGCAAGGTCCCTGCCCTTCTGAACATTACTTAGCATTTTCTTCAGTTACAAAAACAGCAAACTGTGAGAAAAATCCATGTCTTTTGGACGGTCTTGTTCCATATCAGAATAAATGCTATTTTCTCTGGTCAGTTAATCCACCGTGCGAAGAAGAATCACATCATTTAAATATCAATAGAAGCACATTTGAAGTAGAATGTAATGCTGAACCTTATTTCGGCGATATGATAAGATTGGTGAACTTAATTATTTATTATTACTTAATCTTTATAATTCAAAAGAAAAAAAATTTAAGAATTCTACTTTTTTATAGGAAACTTCTAAATCATGTCCAGATAATTCGATGCTTATGCCTGCAAATGATAATCAAACTGAATGGAAATGCGAGTGTAAACCTGGTTTTCTATTTGATGCGAAAAATAGTTCCTGTCACGAAGCCTACAGACAAGGACCTTGTTCTATGGAACATTACTTTATCCTTCCTCCAGGTGAAAAAGAAGCAAAGTGTGAAAAAAATTCTTGTCTCGAAGATCGACTTGTACCTTTTGACAATGAATGTTACCCTTTATATAAATTTGGATATCCTTGCAGAATTTTTCAATATTTAGGTATTGATGAAAAGACTTTTCAATTAAAATGTCTGGTCTCATTTGGACATTACCTTCATTATCACCGTGGTGGAATTATAACTGCACCTTATAAAACTTGTCCTCCAGGTTCTCGACGATCATTCAATGGTTGCAAACGAAAATTTCAATAACACTAGGTTTAAATTTTCAATTATGAATAGGTAAGTGAATGAAATATTCTAGACCAACTTCAGTTACTCATGATTAAAATTATATTAGTGTAATTTTAATTTTTATAAAAAATTGAGTCATTTTAATCACAAAGACGTGTTTAGTACCTTTCTTTATTAAAATTAGTATAAATAATTTTGACAATGCCTAATTTTTTTGCATATTGTTTAAAAATATGTTCTTTAGTGGTTATACTTAAAAAGATTAAAAAATACTTTTTAAAAAAATTTATTTTAACTGGAAAATAGCGGAAAAAAGGTAATTTTTCAATTTTTTTGTTTAAAATAGTGCTATTTTTTAAGGTAATTTTAGGTATAACCACGACAGTTAGTACCTTAACTGTAAGAGTTTTCTTGGATTTTTGTTTTAGATCACTGGGGAGGATGTTAGACCTGTAACCGCGAAGCGCCTCAAAATCGAAGCATCGCCTATAACGCCCTCTACAGCCTAACACATTATAAAAATATTAATTTTTTTATGTCTTTTAATACTTTAAAATAAAAATTTTTATTATGCAAAAAGAATTTTTAAATTTTATAATAAAATAAGCGAGAAAAAAATGTTGAATTTTGACATATTTTGCACAATTCTCATGAGAAATTCCCCTTAAGGTCCGGAAACCAGTTAAACTGCATATTAACTATCTAATCTGCGGATTACCTGTGTAAAGTTAATGTACGAAATAAAACTTTTTTTCACATTACCTAGTTAATCTGCAAATTACCGATGTGGTAATCGTTAAAGTGACAAAAACAGATGTAACTGAAATGAAACAATTATAATTAGATAAAGAAATAATTTGTTTTTACATATTGAGTTAGATAGATCTCTGGAAGAATAAATCACATTTTTATATTTTTAATAGGACACTATTTTTTTTAAAGCGCATTCATAAGTCTCATATTGAATTTATCTTCCATACTAATCTGCAACACAATATTAATTAAACAATAAATTTATAAAAGTTAATTTTAAAATAAATAAAATATTTTATAATATATAATATATAATATTCGAGATAAGAAAAAATAATTATAATATTCATTTTATAATTATAACTAGCTGTCTGCTATTATTGCAGCTTTTTTAACAACCGTTAGCTGTCAATAGTTGTTTTTGACGTCAGATTCGTGTTCAGCATACTAAATATATCTTAAAAAGCAGTAGTCGCAGGTCAAATTTTTATGAAATGGAAAAGTTTTAATACAGTTTGCAGAAGTGCACCAAACCCATGTTAAATCCCATTTAAACGTTAACCTTTAGCCGGCACGGGTTAATATTTATTAAATAGACTGTTCTTGTGCGTATCTCACTTTTTTCATATTTTAATTTAAATTCCGGCCAACGACCTAAGAAATTCTTACTTTTCCAAAATAAGAACCACAGTACATGAGGCATTTTAGTGAAATGTCCCAAGATAAAATTTCAACTTCTTGAAAAAATTGAAACTCGGGGAATTTATTGTTCTATCAAGTAGAAACATGACACAAAAAATATTTTTGCCTTTTTCGAAAATTTGGAGGGATCAATTTTACCAATTTTGATAAACACCATCTACTTTTTCAATTTTTTCTGTACTACATACATGTAATCAGAAAAATTCTGTCGAATATGTTTCTAAAAGGATTTTCTTGCTTTTTTCAATGGTGAATTTTATTTATAATATTTTAAAAATTTATCCTAATTTTTGATAATTAATATTTAATTTTTTTCAAGAAGTCGAAATTTTTATTTAAAACATTTCACGTAAAATGCCTCATTTACACACATACAAAAACACATAATTATTCATTTAATTGCTTTAATGATTTGAATTTTTTATTTATTTTGCTTCATATCTATTAATATTTACATTGCCAATTTTGAGACGTTTATTATGTAAAAAGTTATCTCTTGCGGGATGTGACATTCTCCAATACAGGTTATTTTATATAATTTTCTATGTTAGTCAAAGAGAAAAGAAAGTTAATAATTATAGAAGTCTATTGAAGGGCAAGTTTACATCCCAACACGAGAACTCTTCTACTTCCTGCAGGACAAACCTTAGCAGGCGCATTTATAATGCCTTTAAATATAAGGCCTGGAACCACGAAAACACATTTCAGCTCACGCTTTTTTCCTACGGTACTTAATTTAAAGAACCTATCAGGACATGCTGGGCCATATTCATTGATTTCATAACAGCCATTGTTAAATGGTACAAGACCATCTAATTTACAAGGATTTGATTTACATTGCGGATAACTGCCTTCTAAAGGAAATATTAAGTAACTACCTTGCTGACAAGGACCTTGTCTATAAGCTGCATAACAAGTACGATTTACAAATAAAAAGTTCTCATCACACTCGCAAAGATAATCCGACGGAAAATATCTTGAAAACAAATACGAATTTTTTGGACAGGTTGTTTTTGATGAATTCTGAAACATTAAATTAAATTCATGAAAATACAAATGCCACCCACACACTGAGAAAACTGGAGAGTCAAATTCAGAGGTTCAAAAAGTGTATGTTTCCTTTGCTTATGAAGAGAGTTAAATAGTCCTTCTAAAATAAATTTTGCATTGATAATGGAAATCTACTTGTATATTCTCTCCCATTATATCTGAGAGTTAAAAGTTGCGCAGAAAATGTGTACGATCTGATGCGCGCGAAATTATTTTTCTGACATTTTATGTATTTAATTTAGGGGTTAGGTTGCTATATTTATTCATTTCGCGCCGGATAAGGAAGGGATTTCTCAAGATGGTTAATTTGTCCCTCTATTATAAACTCATTTTCCCTCCAAGAGAAATGGCACGAATATCTGTCAATGGTGAATTTGAACATTTAGATTGTTATCCAATAGCTAACTCTCAAATATAAACGATTTGTCTCTCCAGATGTTTAGACCAATACTCCAGTTTTCTCAGTGCAGAAATCAACCAAAACATTCTTTTTTATCAAAACTAATTTAAATTAATTTAACTTGGTTTTATAAAAGTTACCTCACTATTAATTGTTCCTAAGTACTTTGAGTCGTCACATGTTACTTGAAAATTATCGTCAATTCCTAAATAAGTATTATTATCCTTGCAGGGGTATCCATATTTCCAAAGATGGTGACATTGTTCTTTATAAGGAACAAGACCATCAATGAGGCAGGGATTTTTTACACATTTTGCTACTATTTCTCCAGGCGGAAGCATAAAATAATATCCATCGGAACAAGGACCTGTTCTATAAGGTTCATAACATTGTTCATCTTCAGGATTATATAATAAATAATCTTCACAATCACAATATTCTTCATAATCAGAACCATATTCATTGCTAATATCGATTGGTTTCATATTATCAGGACAATTGCTGTCGAAATTCTGTAAAGAAAAAAATACAAAGTTTTATTCTGATTATATATAATTTTAGTATTTTTGGTGACAGTCGTGTGGAAGGATGTCTTTCATCAGAAAAAGTACTATAAAACTTGTCTTGCCCCCTTTTAATCCAGTACAAAAATTTTCCCATTTGTCTTTGTCTCTATGCGCCCCTAGCTAGATTTCAACTACATCATTTAGTCACGGTAAGATGGGAAATTCCTACCAAAATTTTTTTGTGTGGTTATGTTTGTCTTTTGACCTGCGACCTAATGCCTGTTTTTGGCACTCACCCAGGGTTAAACTCGAGTTAACTATTGTCCAATCATGAAAAACATTCTGTTGGTGTAACCAATCACCATTAACTCGGAGTTAACTCGGGGCGAGTGCCGAAAACAGCCAATATAAGCCACCAATAAAAGGCTGGCCATAACCTTAAAATTGGGTCATAGATTATAAGTCAGAGAGCGAGAAAACCTCAAAATTAATTCAAACGACATAGGTCAGAGGCCAACTTCAGAGGACAAAGGGGAAACATAATCTCGAAAAATATGGTCTCGAAGACTTCAAACCGAACAGATTGATTCTGATTTAAAATCAATTAACGATTCGTGCGCTGATACCTTAGATAGAATGAGGAAAATAATAAACACTCCTGTCTCACAGGCGATTAATATACCGTTCACGACGACAGTATATTTCACACAAAATTCGATTACCCCCACTATCACCACCTGTAGTACCAGTCATTTGTATGTAACAGTCAGAACTACAGTTGCAAATTCAGCATCACACACTAGGACAGGTTATCAAAATCAGTCAAATAATTATTCGTGTAGAATTACCCCCTCCAGTGAAAAATTCGTAATACATAAACCAGGTAAATTGACAGCGGTCATTCAAAAGTCAAAAATTGATTTTTCATTGCCCCCTTATTATGAAAATTTAGTGATTAAAGCAGCTGAGCCCCTAATCAATTAAATAATAAAAAAATCAATAAAAAATAAATAATAAAAAAATAAATAAAAATAATAATAAATAATCATTAAAAAAATTTCGGTTATAATTTTCGATAATTGGAGTCAGCAGAAACAAACGAGTGTCTGTTAACACCAAGACATCTGAATGTTAATAAACCAGTAGATAGTAACAATAACGATATAAAATCACCTTTTAAACCAATAAATGAGACAGAAGAAGTCCTTGAGGCTAATTACAAGTCAGCACTGGCTGGACATTGGCCGAGCAATGGCAAGGCTACTCATCGAACTTTAATTCATCCAAAGGTAGACGCAGTCCCAGCTGAATATTGGCACAAGCCTAGACCAGTAATTGATCCACCTTTCGTTAAAAATAATCGTTATATTTAACCCATTCAAACTAGGGAAGCTTATTTTAATCCTCAATCAGGAAGAATTCCTAACGATTATTTAAATAATAGGTCATTAATGAATACTCCATTGATTAATAATAGGAAACCTCTCGATTCCATAATCAGAAAATGGGGAATAAAATTCTCAGGCTATGATAAGACGAGCGTAGAGGATTTTCTTGAGCGAGTAGATGATGTAATGGAAATCTTATCTGCGACGAATAATGCGGTTCTTCGTGCAGCAGTACTTTTGTTAGATGGTATAGCTCTATAATGGTACCGCCTAAATAAATTTCGTTGAAATTCGTGGGATGAATCTAAAAATGCGTGTCGGTTACGATTCGATGATATTAATTATCAGTGGCATCTTGAGGAAAAAGTCGCCAATCGAATTCAGGGCCCTGGTGAAACTACGGCTGATATTATCATTTGCATGCAGGGTTTATATCGTAAATTTAATCGCCCTGTATTACATTCAGATATGTTAGATCGGGTTTATATTAACATGCGACCCGAATTCAAAATGAGTATTAAACGCCGAGAATTTAGGGACTTAGACGAATTAGCAATAGTGGCATCTGATGTTGAGAGAATGTTAGATTCTCTCAAAACTGAAAGACACCACAGAAGCCAGAAAATTCTTTTTTTCCCGAATTCGCATTCTCTGGTAAAGCAACAAAAAATCTAGTCGCGAAGACAACGAGAAAAATTTGAAATCTTTTTTTGATTGTCTTGATAAAAAATTTCAATCTTTTACTAGCAAACTAATCAAGTCACTTTCAGCTAATAATAATGTAAATTCTAATTCAAATATAAATAATAATCAGTCAAATTCGAATAATAAAAAAAATAATAATAAGCCTACACTGGAGCTTCACTTATTTTCACTAAGTCGAAACAAACTGAAAGGCAAAGTCGCACTTATTTTCACTCTGAAACGCAACATTCGTGTTGATTTGATTGGTGGATTATTTAACAACAACCAATGAGAACGCACCGAGAACGTTTTAACTGAAAATAGGTGAGACTGGAAATGGTGAAAATAAGTGCGACTACAAATAAGTGAGACTGAAAATAAGTG